ATCTAGGCTCAGGTGTGCACACTTGCACATGCGCACGCACCCATGCTCAGGTGTTCATAGTCAGGCACACGTGCCTCACACCCACGCTCATTTCAGTTTTATTACACAATTAAGGCCACCGGTGATGGCCACAGAGGCCAATGGTGTAAAAGCCTCATCAATTCCCTACACTGAAAAAAAAAAGGATATGTGAGCAAACCAAAGATTTGGAAGACAAATGCTAAGGTACAACCACAAAGGAAAAGCAGTCATCGGTGCAATGTTGCCAGGAATCTACACAAACATGGAAAAAAGTGTGTTGCATGTCCTTTGAATGTCCCTTTTAATTTTCACTCATCTCTTTCACAGCAAAATTGCATTACGGCCAAATAGGCAGCAAAAATACTTGTGGCAACACTAACAGATTGGGTTAGAAAGGACTTTTCCCTGCTCTTCCAGTATTTAAACATGCTGGAATACCTGTCTGAGGTATCTCTGGTCTTCAGCCAAGGGTAAATGTGTGCCTTTAACCAGGTGTCTTGTGATGGAACTTAAATAAATCTAAACTGTGGCTGGGATTTAAAGAATAAGGAACTGGATGGGGTGCGCATGTGCGCATGTGCAAGTGTGCACACCTGAGCCTAGATAGAGGTCAGCGATACAAGGGCAGCCTTACTCAGAGGCCGCTGCTGCGAGGAGCTACGAGAAGACAGACAACCACCAGGAGAGAAAGACAACGCCAGAGTCGAGTGTATAGAGATTCACAGGGGCCTCAGGTTGCTCTCTCCCTGCTGGATTGTTTCCTCTGCTTACATTAAGACATTAAGACATTCTAGACTTAAATCACCTGAGGATGGGGCGTGTCTCGAGGACATCCTGGCCGTGTGCTTTGATGCTATAAGCAGCAGTCTTGTAGACATTCCGCCCCCTCAAGCCTCCAGAGACATTCTTGATTCCCTCAAACCTCGTAAATACAACATATAGCTAAAAGTATAAATAAAAGCAGCGACACAAAAATTATTAGTATTTATTAAGTGCTTTTCGAGGATTAACTCCTTTAACTTACAATTCAATGAGGCAGAAACATTCAGTAGCCCCATTTCACAAATTAAAAAACTGAATTTATTTTTCAGGGATCACAAGCTAGAAAGTGGTGGGACTAAGACTCAAACCAGAGCCTGCACTCCTAAGCTTGCTTGACGGCCCACTCAACTTTTCCCAAAACTCCCAATCAACATCCAGGGTGAATTCCACCTGACCTTGTTTACGGAAAGCAACACACACACACACACACACACACACACACACACACACACACCCCACCCCCACCCCACCCCTTCTGTGGAAAGCAGTCCCTCCTCTCTCTCTCTCTCTCTCTCTCTCTCTCTCTCTCTCTCACACACACACACACACACACACACCCGCCCTTCTGTGGAAGGTGGCTGGCCCCAAATGCCTCCTGGTTCATGCTGCCAGCCAGTGAGAATTAACCCAATAATTCATTCCGAGTTGGGGAAAGAAAGCACATGGAGTTGGGAGCAGGCTGTTGCCTTTGGCTTATGAATTTTGCTCTTACACAAAACAGCACATGTATGTGAGCCCGTAGGTATGTTCACAAGGTGACAGAGACAAAAATGATACTTTCTGGGAACACCTAGAATTAAATTTCCCTCATAACTCTCTTAGAAAAATAGAAATTACACCTTCTCGGCTTCTACAACACTTCCTATTATCTACCTGTGTCCAAGCCAACAAGGGGGGCTCCTTGTGTGTTGGGGACACTCATTTACTTGTAGGAAGGCCTCCCAAGAAGTATAAATATAAACCCAAGAATGGAGACTCAGGTCCCATTCCATGCTGACTAGCCCACAGCAGGTGCTCAGCAAATGTTCCTCACACAAAATAAATATAAGCTCCCTCTAGATGAGAGGAGGGTGGGCTCAGGAAAGAATGCATCTTCCTTGATTCCTTCCCCCTTCACTGCTTAGGCAGTGCCTCTCATTATTAGTACCCTTCCTGGCCCATCTCTCACTGCTCCACAATTCACAAGAGAGGGTATGAGAGTGCAGAGCCAGACCCTAACCCCATCACATGTAAAAAAGAGAGGAGGGAAACTATACACAGCACTACAGGGGGAAAAAAAGCCAACGTGGATAAATACAACATTGGCAAGTTTTGAGTGAAAAAACAGAGGACTCACCCCCAGCACAGAAAGTTGATTCAGTAGAGCTTCCAGGCTGCATGTTTGCAAAAGAGAAGTCACCTTATTAAGTGAAAATTTATGATCAGCAGCAAAGATACCATTTTTTTTTCTATTTAAGAAGTAGGGAAAAAGGGAAGACAGTTAATGAGCTGAGAGTGATGGGAGAAAGAACTTATTTTTAAGCCTAGTGATTTTATCAATACCGGAGACAGTAAATAAACTATCCATACTCAGGATCATCAGAGTAGTGCACAGGTTAAATTCTCTAGCCCAAAAAATAAAACAGGGCCTCCCCGGTGGCGCAGCGGTTGAGCGCTGGGTTGCGAAGCTGCCCGCGGCCTCTGCGGCGCCGGTTCGATCCCCGGCTGCTCCCCGGTCACCGGAGGAGGGTCCCACATGGCGCGCAGACCTCTCCTGCCACCAGCTGCTCCCCTCAGCAGTGTACTTTGGTCCTTCTGCCTTGTTCTGTTCCCCGCTCTGGCTCTGGTGAATTCTCTCACCCTCCCATGCTTCTGACTGTACCCAGTGCATGTATAAAACAAAAAACAAACAAACAAATAAAACATGCCTCTATAAAAAAAAAAAATCAGCTCAAAAAATAAAACAGATGAGAAAGGAAAATCATAGATGCATCCACTCTTGTACCAGTCAGGCCTGTCCTTGATCTGTCTAGCAGTCTCTAACCGGCTAGAGTTGTTGGCACCACTTGCCCTTTGGATTTGCCCTCACTGCCTGGGCTCCTGCTCCTTGGTGGGGCTTTGTAACACGACAGCTGTCATTTTCTGTTCGTGAGTCTTTGAATAAAATTTGTCTCTTCAACCCAAAAAGGCAAGGTCTGAAAATGATTCTACTCATATGGTTTCCTCAAGTCTGAGCATTGTGAGAAGAAGAGACAATAGCCTAGGCAAGAAATGCTCAGCTGCCCAGAGCCTGTGAGTCTGTGTGCCTACTGCAGGTACATGGGAATAGTGGCCACTTGCTGTAACTGCCCCATAACCAGCGGCCCAGTTCTTCAGATTTCACACTGGGAAGCAAATCTCGACTTGCACTCAGGCTAACCTCAAGCACCTCAGGAGGCTCTTTGGAAGTAAACAATGACAGGTGCTACCTGGCAACAAGACAAGCTGTTGTGTGTGGGAGAGTGCAGGCTTACTTGCTGCCCTCCTGTCTGCATTCCAGTCCCCTCTCACCAGAGCTCATAAACACTTGGCCCTGGTCTTACCTTTGGAAGAATCTGGGAAGCAGAGAGAAAGATCAAAGATAAATTAAATTCACGTTTAATTTAAAACATCGTTTGAATCTTAATTTTCATCGACTCCCTCAGAGAACATTTATGTGAGCATCTATGTAGTAATAAAACCTTTGATTTAAGGTGTTTGTTTTCTTTTTAATTTGTTCCTATATTTCTTATCTTCTGAGTGTTCATGTGGCATTTTAATTAATGCTTGTTATTATTTATTACATCTTTCACCATGTTATCTATGCACTATTATAAATGCCTCAGGGGACTGAATCAGCTCCTAGTGAGATAGCTTGCAAACACATTGGTAAGTACTTTCAGTTAATTGAGTTGACTGCTTATCTTTGAGTAATACTGACATCACCAAGGAAGGAAAGAAAGAGCATGAACTGAGACAAAATTCTCCAGATAACAGCACTGAGTTCATCAAATGAAAGCCAAGGTACAGGAGGAGCCAGGAAATCACCTTTGCTCACTTGAGTTTTCACGGTGAATTTTCTCCTTGCTGAGATCCTGGCTCCAAAGAGGCTCCCCAATATCCTGATGCTGGTTCACAATTGGTTATGTAAGATTTTCATTCCTGGTCAATAGTAGACATTTTAATTATGCTACTTCCTTCTTTGCTGGCGCCTGGCTGACGAAGGTGCAGTTGTTTCCTGGAATTTCTTGAATGAATAAGAAACAGGACAAATGACCGAGTTGATGGCCACAGAAATAGGCTGCTGCTGTTGTTCTTTCCCAAGCCAACCTCTAGTCCAGCCTCTGATGGGCCCTCATTAAGGTCCCAGAGTCATGGTCCTCAGCTAGCTCTTTTTCAGAGCTTAGATCGTGTTTATCCAGAAGCAGCAGAAGAAAAAAGTGAAAGTATTCTCAGTAGTGAAGGTACCACTGGAAGCAAGGGAGAACATTAATGAAAGATTCACTGTTAACCAAGAGAGATGACACACCAAGAAGACCTCAGTTGACCAAGCTTGTTTCCCCAAAGCCACCCAAGGGTCATTACTCACATTCCCAGTCAACTTGACATCATGCAATAAGAACAATAGGGAAAATCAATGCTGAGACCACATTACCTTAAATTCCAGTAGCAGAGGAAAAATGTAAAGGACAGAGTTGGCTTCATGATGAAACCTACAAATGAATCCCTGATAAGGAGCCCCAACTTAGATATGCATTGTTATGGGGCTGACAGAGACAAATGATCCCCACTGCCTTTTTGGCAACTACACATTTTCGTATTCCTTCATTGAACATTTTCCTCTGGACTCCCTATCCATAATAGGTTTATATGCTTAAAATAATTGGATTCTTGACAGTTTCTTAAGGTGGATTCACCTTCATTTACTTCACTGTTGTGGACACTGAAATCATCCTTTTGCATAGATTCTATGCAAAGTGTAGCATGAGACCTTAGCATGAATTTGTCTGATATAAATTTTCAGGTTTGACTCACACAGGCAATAGGGCATACTGAAGGTTGTCAAAGAAGACAAGTCACCAAAGGGAGACCCCAGAATCACCTTACTCCTTGAACTGAACACAGCCCCCTAACCCCTTCAGTTCCAGACATCCATCTTAAAAAGATCCAACAAACAGTTGCATGGTCCAAGCATGTGGTGATTTTTATTAAGAATAACTTTGGTTCTAAGAATTCCACCCTCAATTCTGTAATACTTTCCGTTAAAAACAATTATACAAGAGCAATTACAAAAAATATTAAATTATGAAAACAAATCCATTAAGGCTCCCTTTATATATATTATATACACTCCAACAAGTCAAGATTTTTCAGAGTAGAAGAATAAAGTCAACTGTTATAGCTTAGAAAGCAACACTACTACTAGGAGACTATAAAACAGAGAACTATTATAAGAAAGCCATAGAGTGGAAAAATGGAGCCATTTTGTCAAAAAGCGGCTCAAAGCACAAACTGCTCGTATGTTCATGAGTCCCAGGGGTTTGGACTGTATGGTATCAAAGTGTGTGGGGGGGAGATGGATGCCTTTTTAAACTCAGTCTGTGAGCCAAGCTGATCTTCCTTCAAAGAGCTTTTCTACCTATACATTCCACTGTTTAGTTGTAGATTATTGTATGCTATTTACAAGTTTTCTTTTGGTGAGACTTTGTATGACTAACTTCAAATAATTTTGCAGATCTGTGAGTTGGAAGGGAGATGCTTTCGTCATTTTCTTCCTATCGATGAATGAAAATTCCAGCAACAGAATTGGTCCTTCTGAAGGAATTGAGAATTTTATCAAGTGAGAGAATTGCTTCAAGGACACAGGATCTAAAGATCCAACATCCAGTGAGATAAAAGGATGAGTCAGTCCTGCCTGAATCTTCATTTTTCAAATCACATCATCAGTCCACAGAAACAAAGAAAGAGCTCTAGTCAATGTGCAATCAGAAATGTACTTTTAAAATGATCATTTACCATACTTTTCTTCTCTGAAAGGGAAGCTGATGGAAGAAACAGTTGTCATTCCATCCTTCAAAAGCAATTATAGAGCAATATTTTATCATAAGCATCTCATATTTTATTCAAATAATACTTGCTGATGAGAGAAATAACCCATTTCAGGTGTAATCAACATGTTTTCTAACTAGCAGTATATCATCATTGCATATACTACTTACATATTCTTCACATTAGGATTGAATATGAGCCTAATCATCAACTATGAAAACTAAAGTATTCCCATAGAAAGCTAATTTCTATTATGCTTATTAAGGATTTAAAAGCTCAGGATATCCAGCTTTCTAGGAACCTTTTAAGGAAGTAGAAGTCTTCAATGTACAAATTACTGGCTAAACCATCTCCATGGAGAACATATTGAAATCCATACTCACTCTTCAAGATCACCCCAAGTAGAATGTACCCCTGCCCGTTTCAGCAGGATAATATGGATTCTGTGTAAGAATCTCACTGTTAGCATAAATCACACTAGACTTTGAGCAGCCTCTCCCTCCCTTCACCTCAGCTTTTCCTGAGATGCAGAACAGTAGTCATCACTGTCACCATTATCAACAGCATCATCCTCACTAAGATAGTGGTGAAAGTCTTTCTTCACAGGAAAAAAAAAAAAAAAAAAAGGCAAAGCAATATATGATCATTAATCAGAAATTTCAAAGCTGGGATACCACTAATATTCAAAAAGTACAAATGCTATAAATCTTCCTAAGTAGGCCTCCTGGAGACCAACCTACATTTGTTTCACATTAAGATACCCGAAGAACTCCTCCTGGCTCAGCAGCCAGCAGGAGCTTTCCCTACACCACTCTTAGAAGAAATCAAAAGATTTGGACCCTCTACTTTTGACATTAAAGTTGGGTTACATGGATTAGTTTGTAGTCTCTGCAGATTCAAGAGATTCTTTTATATAAAAGGATAAGCTCAGCTAAAAAGAAATTTAAAAAACAGAACAAAAGCCCTAATGGATATCAAAACAATATATGGATTTATCTGATTTATCTTTTCTGAACTGGAATGTTATCAAGGAGCATACTAATATCAGAGAACCAAAAGGAATTAAAATAAAATCAAGATGGGTGTTTACATACTTTTGTTTACCTATCTTAAAACCTCCTCACTCTATTTCTGAATCTTAATGCCAACAAAGGAAAGAGCTGTGCTCAACAGTAACATCATGTGGCGTTAATTCTACCATGGGTAAAAGTATAAACTAAACAAGGAAATTTGGGGATCTCAAAATTGAATTTACAAATATTGGATGTAACAGATCAAATGTATTTCTATGCAATCTAATGATCTAATAGATAACAACAGCAAAAATGAAACACGTTTTCTTTAGATTTTAAAGGGAAAAAAATGCTCTGTGCCCCCACTACACTTGGACTGTAAGAAAAACCAAGCAGTGCAACTTTCAAAAATTTTTTCCAGTGTCCTCTTCTTTTGTTGCTGTTGTGGTGTTTTTTTTCCTCTCAGTTTCCAAACACAGGTCCATTATCATAAGTGCTGGTCAATGTCCTTCACTTGGCGAATAGGAACTTCACCTTAACAGGTGATTTGTCCACCAGATTGTGGGAAAACCAAAACCAAATCCTTGTTAAAGTCAGTCTGCTGGCTGGGCTGCTCTCAGGGGCGATCCCTGAGAAGCAGCACTGAGGAGATCCACACAGCTTCTGTGCCCTACGACTCCTGAGCTTGGGCCACTTCTTGACCTGTTCTCCTGAGATTGCCCTTAACCTTCACAAACTCCGGAGCGTTTTCTTGCTCTTCTTGTAACTTCTGCTTCTCGAGTTCAACCTAAATGAAATTCAGAAACAGGAAAATTATTTCTATGTGGAGATGCTTTTCATAACACTCCTCTTTCCAAAGTTCTTAATGATTTCATTTCCCAGTGTAAAAAGATTCTCTCCTGGTCTCTACATTAAATATGCGTGAATGCAGGTATGTGTGTTTATGTTCTGGGGTGATTCTGCCCAGGTGCAGCAGTCTGTTGGTGGCTACTATAAGCAATACTAAGAAATGACAACCAGAACCTAAAGATCAAGACTAAAAAACAAGACCCTGAGATCAACACTAAGTTGTCCTGGAGTCTTAGTGAAGGTGAAGATTACTCAACCCCTTGAGTTTCCAACACTACAATTCGGTGATATTCCCAGTTGGGTTTGCCTCCTGAATCTTTTCGAGGTCCAAAATATAACTCTTCCATCTACCTTGAATGTATTGTAGCCTGTGTGCTAACACTTTGTCTCATATTTTCCTTTAATTTACATCTCGCTCTGGAAAATTCTACTTGCTCCAACATCCTTATTTCACAGGACAAAAAAGACAACTTTTGAGATAAATGAGAAAGAAGACAAATACTCTAAGATATCTCCTTTTCGTGGAGTCAAAAATCATCAAACTCACAAAAGTAGATAGTAGAACAGTGGCTACTATGGGCTGGGGGGCTGAGGGGTTGGGGGGCAGGGGAAAGGCGAGTCACTCTTTAAGCCACAATTAGTAAATAAATAAGACCTGGAGACTTAATATACAGGTCAGTGATTACAGACAACAAAACTGTATGATAAATATTAAATTTACTAAGAGCCTAGATTTTAATAGTTCCCAACAATAGAAGACATGATAATTATGTGATGAAATAGTGGTGTTTGCTAATGCTATACTGGTAATCTCACTGCAATATGAATGTATCAAATCAACATGCTGCACATCTTAAACTTGCAGTGTTTTATGTGTCTCATATGTCTCAACTTAAAAAAAAAAAGACAACTTTCATGCCAATCACCCCTACCTGCTCCAACTTCTGCTGCCGTTTTAATAGTTCTATTTCCAAGTCAGATTTCTTCTTTTGTGCTTCTTCTTCCTTCTGCTTTATTACTTGATCTCGTTTTCTCTTTTCCATCACCTTCTGCAGTTCTGGCTTATTCTGAGGGGCCAGACCCCTGCAAAAGAGCATTAACAAAAATAAATTAATCTAATGGACATATTTCTTGTGAAAGATTAAAGCTTCAGCCACAGAAAAGGTGTCTACTGGTCCACACTGGCGGTCTCAGAAATTCATGAACATTAAGAGAAAAAGCAAAAGCTATTTCCAAGAGTCAGCAAGATCCATTCATTCAATAAAAATATAGTGAGCACCTACTGTGTGCCAGGCTATATAAAAGAGGTAAGTAAGGGCAGGATGGGGTGGGGAAGGCTGGGAACACCATGAGTGTCGTGAGCACCCAGGATGGAGATGAAGATGCCCAGAACAGGAGATGCTTCCACCTGGAATTCTAGAGAAAGTTTTCCAAGATCGAGTACCTGATCTCATGTGTGTACTAACTGTTGCACAGGAGAAGGTTAGTACAGAAATTTAAACAGCAAAATGCCCCTAGACTCATCTTTAAGTTTTTAGATTTCAAACAGTTTTTGTTTATCCAGAGGCACATCCAAGCTTTCATCATTTCCAGATGCACGACCACGGGGAACCCTGATCCCCAACTCTCAATCCAGTGCTGCTACAGCTAAACCTTTTCAGAGGTGCAATTACTATTGACGATGCACGAAGTCAGGGGTAAGGGAAGTTCTATATTCCTGAGAGATAAATGCCCTCTTCAAGTGGAAGGAAACAAAACCAAAAGACCATCCCCTCGCCACTCTCCACCTACAACGTCTGCAGCAAGGGATAGATATTCATTAGCTTCTCTTCACACGGGATCTCTTCAAGCTTAGCTGTTAACTGGGACTCTTGTCTCCATTTCCTCTGCCGCTCCCTTTAGACACACCAAGCTTTCCAAGGGACCTGCCTGGTAGCCTACCTTCCTGCTCATTCTCTTCCTTCTTTGGTTGCTTCAGCCAGCCTACATTAGTCCTTAAGTAATCTCACCTTGATTTTAAAATTTGCAACGAGATGTAAGGTGAAAATGAAACCAGAGCAGGTAGTACCTGAAATACCAATTTCAGACAGCACAGGGTGTGAGTGATAGTTAATCTTCACATTCTCACATGTTTGCGCGCACACACACCTGAGTAACTGATAACTTAAGCTTTCTGGGTTATAAGGAATGGGAACAGGCACTGCTGAGCCAAGCCAGGCATGAGGTGGGCCCGTGCACCTTCCCCGCACTCTCTGCCCTTGCTGATGACTGCCCCTCTGGAGGTCAGGGCTCCCGATCAACAAGGAATCATTTGAGTAACTGCCCAAATCAAATCATTTCCAAATTGTGTGCTCTGGTATGCAACATATGAATCTCAACACACTGGTTTCAATATCTGCCAAGTTCATACTATCACATCTAAAAACTAATCCTCAATTTCACACTTATTTATCCAGCTATAATTTTTTTTTTAAATACTGGCATCTCTCCTCTCTACATATTTTAAATCACAATAAATAATCTTTCAAGGTTGTTGTTTACAGAGGAAAAAATAAGTATATTCCATCCGTGAAGATGAAGGACCCATTGTCAAAACAACTTAGGTCTCTACTTTCCCAATTTTCATTAGCGGAACTTTCAGGAAGAAAGGAAATAGTAAATTAAGTCAAATTTCCAAGTGAAACAAAGCAAGCAGGCTACCTAGTGATTTAATTATGTTTTGTTTCAGTTTTTAAGTTCACTTGAAAGGGACAGAACTATATACAGACTATTCTAGAAATTCAATTTTTAATTGGCACAATAGAAGCAGCTTTGCTTACAATAAGAGGTGTCATTTACCACAGGAAAACTTGTAAATAATCTTAGTAAAGACCCATTAAAAATTCCTTGACTATTAAAAAGATTCAGTATGACACTATAGGCGGAATTAGGGATTTATATTTTAGTATTAAGAATTTAGCTATCTGCATAATTTAAATTTCAAACATTTTTCTTTCTCTATATTTCACTGGCAAAATTAATTTCCACTGTTATTAAAGTCTCCTGGATTATGCAGAAGTTACTGAACAAACTCTGATGTATGATACATTAAGCTGACATTCTATTGCAACATATGAATGGGCTTACCTCATATAGAACATTCAATTTCTGTTCAAAGATTTTACATAATGGTAGTAATAAGATAAAATATTTAGCAACAGAAAACTCAGGAAAATGGTGATTATATGACAAATGTTCTGCAAATTACAGTAGTCAAGAAATCATACAAATTTAGTTAATATTTTATCAGAGCAAATCATTTAGCTTCATGTGTGGAATGGAAAGTCAAGCACTGCCCATTTGATTCTGAGTCTAAAACTAGATTAAACTGCACAGACTAGGGTCGCCAGACAGGAATGAGCTTCTCCTAATATCTGTGTGACAACAGTTAGCTCTCTTTGGTCAATTCTGACACAAGTAATTCAAAAGTACTTCTAATCCTTCCTGACTGAGGGGTGCTCCAGTCCTGGGGGCTTTATGCCAATCAAGATCAACTGTTGGGCCTCCCCTGGTGGTGCAGTGGTTGAGTGCTGGGCTGCGAAGCTGCTGCAGCCTCTGCAGTGCCGGTTCAATCCCCAGCCGCTGGCGAAGGTCCCACATGGTGAGCAGACCTCTCCTGCCGCGCCCGCTGCTCCCCTCAGCAGTGGACTTCGGTCCTTCTGCCTGTTCTGCTCCGTGCTCTGGCTCTGGTGAATTCACTCACCCTCCCGCGCTTCTGACTGTACCCAGTGCTTGTATAAATAAATAAATCTTTAAAAAAAAAAAAAGATCAACTGTTATACCTGGGTCTGCTTGCTGTAACTACTATAATGGGCCAAGCCAATAATTTAAATCATGAAATTAATAAGTGATCACTGCAAAAAAAATAAGTGGGGTAGTGCATGTATATTTGTAAAATAAAAAGTGAAAGTGCATCTAAGCCCTCTCTGATAAACGAATCATGGGAGCACCACGTAAGTTGTATTCTGTGTATTTCAGGTGGCCCTGAAAATAGTACAAGGTAGAGGCCCTGGCCCCATGGACTCCTTCCCACCCCTGCAGTCAGAGAGAGTTAACAGCATGGTCTGCGCTCTTCCAGACACCCAGTGCCTTCACAAACAGTTCTACCTCATTCTTCCCAACATCTGCACAAGACTTCACACCAGAGCGCCACTCCACTGCTAGACACAGGTGATGTCCAAATGCTCCCTATATAAATCAAGGAGGCAATGTACGTCCTTGTACATTTACACCTGTACTCTCTTAGGAGCATTTCTGTCGGCCTGAACTATAGAAGAGGAGTGGCAGGCTCAGCATCGGCACATTTTATATTTTCATGTGCACTGACAAACTCCCTTCCAAAAAGGCTGAAAGAATTTACATTTCCACCACCAGTGATGAAATGTGCAGACAACTTTAAAGGTAGGTTTCACATTTTACATATACCAAGGAGGATATTCAGGACAGACCAGAAGGGTCCACCTTTACTCCACCTCACCTCAACTCCAGGTACACGTAAACCCTCAAAAGCCAAATTGCCTGCTCACCTGGGAAAGCAGGAAGCCAGAGGCAAGGGCTCCCTCAAACTCTAATGGGACATGCTTGCCAGCCCAATTGGCCAAACACGTCCTGATCAAACATTTTTGCCTTAGGGTTGAAGGAGGAAGGCTGCATTAGACTTCAGTGCTTTTTTTTTTTTTTTTTTTTTAATCTTAGATCTGGTTTGGTGTGCTTTCCACGTTTCTTTCTGGTTCAATCATTTCTGCCCTCATGAATTCAAATGCAAATACATTTATCTTAACTTCCTGTATTTTTTTCCATGTTGTACAGCAACAAATGTCCATTGTCGAACTATTTGTCTAGCAAAGCATGCAAAAAGAAAATCAACTAAAAACATAGAAAACTAGAAACCACTTATTGAAATGTATAAGCCAACGAACAATTTTAGGGATGTGTTTAGCTGAGTGCTCTATACTTGTACCAAAAGTATTCTACTTAAAGAAAACAGACTTTTCATAAAAGTCTGTTCTCATTATATTGGAAATATTAATTTTTTCAGATCTCTTTCCATTACAAAAAATGCCATTTGAAATCTGCCTTTTCATGCCATTGGGGAGACCCATAGAACCTGAGAACTTTCCAGAGGGTCTTAATAATTAGTTCTAGTGGCCAACTGTGACTGGGGCAAAATTTAAAGATTTTTAACCTGAAACTTAGCTGGATTCAAAGAAAATGATACAGCAGAAAGAGTGCAGGTTCTTGAAAGACTGCAGGTTTCAGAGCTCAAATACCAGCAAGTATTTATTCTCCTGGGGAGTGACTTTGCTTTTATCTTACGACCTCTAAAAGTAACTCAAAAAACTCCTGAACTCCTAGGTCTTTGAGCCAAATTTGTGCTATATAAGGAGAAAGCACAAAGCTCCCCAACAGTTTGTTTTGTGTTGATTTCATCTCTCCCCTCTCACTCTCAAGAAAGAGCATTGGAAAAAGATTCAGGTACGTAAGTATAACATTTTACTGCTGAGTTTCTCTCACTCATGTGTCAAAATGAGATGATCCCAACACACACTGGGTTAGTGGAAAGATCACTGGGTAACTGATATTTATACATGTCATTATTTAATTCTCTCTGACCCCGAAGCCCCTCGTCCTTCCTGTTGGCTCATGTCAGAATATGAGCATCTCCCAAGTGAGCTGGGCTGGGTCTTCCTAAAGAGGCAACTTCTTAAAGAGGTAAAGAAAGCAGGGACTGAAAGTGAAAATCAAAATCAACAAACAACTATGAACCAGAGACACTCTATGGGGGGTGGGGTGGGGGCGGGGAGGGGAGGGATTGGGGTCAAAATAAGGGGGTTGCAATTGTATGGGGAATATAAAAATAAAATGTATTTTAAAAATAAATAAATAAAATAAAATAAAAAAAGAAAACAGGGACCATAGAAAGGCAGATTGACGGGGGGGGGGGGGTCCATTTTCACAGAATATTTCTATTCTAGGAAATCTGCAAGCAGAGTCAATTGCACCAATCTATATGTTTCACAGAGACCACTAAATAACTTTCTGTGGAATAACTAACTGATTAACCTGTAATTCAGAGAACACTTAGCCTGCCAATTTGGGTTTTGCCTTGCCCCTTCTCTGACTTGGAACCTTTTAATAGACATATTTTTTTTAAAGGAGCTGGAATGCTTAATGATCAATTAAACCCCCTACTCCCATTCTGCAGTTAAAAGGACTGAGGTTCAAGAGATAATCAGGAAACCATTTAGAGTGGAGACAAAATGGAAAACCATTTGTAGTGGCAACTGCTACTCTCCTTGGGTGTATCAAACTTTCAATCTCTCCACCGCATGTAGATAGGGTTGCCCAAGCAGGAGCACCACCAAATTCTATGGCCTATTCAGGAATAAATATAGTCTCCTGTTGGGCATGATATGACAAATCCATAGTTTCCCCCCCTCCTTATGTTACAAAAACAGGTCGAAGCTAAGTACTTATATTTAAAAAGGCTCAAATTTGCATTCAAATTAATAAGGATTAATCCTTATTAATACATTCATGTGTGCTGGGGATTAAAGGGAGTAGTCACCCCTATGATATGGAACCAGAGATGTATTTACGAAGATTCCTGGGGTGGGATTATGAGTTGTGGCGGGAGTATACTCAGGAGGAGAACTACCATAAAAACATTTCCTCCATTATATATATATATACACACACACACACACACATATATATATAATGTTTAAATATTTAGTTAGGCCTTCCCTCCAGAGATTAACTCTAATGCTTAGCTTGGTCTACCTATCTTTCAGTTTAATGGGTTCAGCAAAGAATGTGTGGGTGAAGGATCTGTAGTTCCACAATTCAGATTGAGAATTCCATTCTGACCATCAGAAAATAGTTCCAAACACAGTCTGAAAGATCTTAAATAAATAAAGTCACCACATGACCTAATAAACAGAGTAACTTTGTACCCTCAGCTTTCTCGGTCAACTGGTCCTGACCAGTACAACATCCAAAATTGTTTATGGCACAAATGTTGCTAACGAAAGATAGAAGGCAAAGGTTTTGCTTCCCTCCAAAAATAATCTGTAATAAACAGCGCAATAATGATTTAAAATGCCACTTAAAAATAAGACACACAGAAGAGAAGGTTCTTATCTGTTAAGTCTGATGTAATTCTAGTGTTTTCTTTGCCACTCACAAATGCTAACATGGGCAAGATTTATGTCTGATTCCACATTCCCCAACATAAAAAGGAAATAAAGAATTTTTATAAATCTAGGAAAGAAGGTATTCCTCTTTTGCTTTAAATCTTTTATCCTTAATCTAGCCCCTTCCATCAAAATCCTATAATATATGTCCATCTGAGAAGGGACATGGAGCTATAAGTTTTGAACAACTTGGGGGTAGCTACACCTGCAGATCTTTTCTTATGGAGGGGTGTCCTGGCTCAGGGATGCCAGAAGGAATGAGGAAGACTGGAATATGATCAAGACATGAAAAAGTCTTTGCAGTCCTTGTAAACATAATTAAAACGAAATCTATCAGTACCTTAAAACTCCCCAAGAAAACCTGCGCAAGAAAGCATCTTACCGTTTTTGATTCATCATAAGTTCTCTGTGAAGATCTTGATGGTTCCGGGATGTTTTGACAGGATTGACTAGTTTCTGGGGCCTAATTAGTTCAGGATTATCATCTTCTATATAGTCTGGCTCAGCCATGATCCTTCTTGAGATGAGGTATGTGTCCTTAAGGTCAGTCTCCGCTGTGCTGCCTGAAAGAGAGAGATGAGACTTGGCTCAGAGAGAGCTGTGCCTGGACAGAAGCGGGGACCCTCCTTGGCCCACTTCACTGCTTCATGGAAAACTCTTCTAATGCTCTGCGGAAGTCACTAGGGGAGTGAAGGAGCAAGAATAGCCATGTTGCTCTGCACTGCCTGTGACGAAAGCAAAGGCATCCCCAAACCTAATGCAGTTTTGAGTTTCAGTTCATACAGGCCATTTCCCACCATGGCCAGAAACCAAATGAACCCACTAGGACATGGCTTCCTTCAGCTGTAACAGGTACTTGGTGGGTACTCGGTGGGTACTGCGACCACAAGGCTGCATCAGCGAGAGGTGTGCAGAGCACAGAGGCAGGTGGGGCTCCCCCCACTGCCTGGAGGCTTCATCCTGTTCACAGCCTCTCAAGTCTTTCTTCAAAAGTCACCTCCTCAGAGGTCAGACTTTTTGGCGACCCCACATTAACCTGCAATCCCCTCCTGACATCACACACACAGAGGTCCATCTGGCAGGCATTCGATCACGACAGACACCTATGCACATCTGGGGTGCTGACCATGTCCCTGCTTCCCTACCCCCAAAGTAAACCTGGCAAGTGTTTTGAGATAATGAACATGTCATTTTATGCTTTCCTGCCCCTACATGATGACTTTATTTTCCAAACCAAAAATCACATGAGGGTCCTGGCAAAGCAGAGTAGTTGACATTGAGCCTTGCCTACAAAGTCCAGAGTACATGATTACTAATTTCCTATCTGGTCTATGCCCATAGATGGAATGGAAATCTGCGACGTGTAGGGATGGAAAGAGAGTCAATCAGAGCACACCTAGTACTGCTGCCTCGCCCCACCTTTCCAAGGAAGTGGAGAGGTCGGTCATGGGTCCTGTCCCCTCAGAGCCCTGCAGCAGTGCTGACGTCCAGTCACAAAAGCATCACAGGATAACCTCTGTTTTCTGTCTATTTATTCTATGCAAGAGCTAGAACCCCTTCTTTTCCAGTTTTAACTCCCAGGTCTAGTAAAGTGCCTGGCACGTGGCAAAAGCCAAAGAAATATTGAACTAAATCAAACCTGTACTAAACAGAAAAGTTGGAAAGCTTTTCCATGAATGAGCTCCTTGATGGAAGACAGGCTCCATCTTTATCTCTGACCATGCATCCATCCCCTGAGCACACATCTAAATGGACATGTACTTGTGTTTACACATAGGGGCAGGACTGAGGGAAGAGCACAGGACCCCGGCATAAGGCTTGAGGGGTGAACACTGGAAAAGAGTCAAGCTGTATTTGCACTTAAAATTTAAAAAAAAACAGAAAACCAAAAGCAAGTCTGGTGGTAGTCAATAAAAGCAAGAGTTTGGCTCCAAAGTCATCAGGGATCTAGACCGAAAGGCCCAGCAAGTGCATGCATGCTAACGTGTCCAACTGGCCGACAACCACCAGTGCTGCAAGCCCAGTGCTGCAGGTACCTGAGCACCTCAAATCCCAGCAACATCCCTATGAACAAAAGAACTAGATCTTCACTTTAAAGATAATAAAATGAAGGCAAAAAATGAAATAACCCATCTATGTTAATATTGCCAGTAGTGTAATGTGAAACCAAAATGAATGTTCTTTGATCTCAAAACCCATGTGTTGTCTACTGAATAATGCCTGACATTTTATTGCAAAATCTTCTGGAAATTAATGTAAAAGTAAAGAGCATTAGAAATCCAATGACCACATCAATAAAATAGAAAAACCATATATTAATAATTTGTTTATGTATTTTAGGTATAACTGCATGACTAAGGCTCAAAATTATCAAGTGACTACATATATAACTATACCAAACATTCCTTAAATATAACGTACATACATATAACTCCTACCTGCATTGATCTTTTAAATAAAAATGCCTGCAACCTTCCCCAAATGGAGAATTACAAACCTTGCACATGCTGAGTCAGCGAACCCATGACAGCCACCCTGACTTGTGCTACAGCTGCCCCTTGGTCAAAACTGTACAAGCACCATGCGAATGGCTCAGTCTGTCTTTAAAAGCCAAGGGAAGTTTCATTCTAGTTAATCAGTAGCCAAGAAGCCAACATGCTACCATAAAAGGATATTTCTCTGCCCTAAACATGGACCTCTCCATGACGCCTAATCAAAACAGATTATCACCTCCTAAGGTCAATATTAAGTTGGGGAGGGTGGGTCTAGAGGCTATGTGGGAGAAGAAAATGCAGGCTAGAGAGAGCAACCTATACAAAGGCCCTAAGGCAGGAGTGTAGTGGGTGTTCACAAGGAACAGCAAACAGGCAGCATGTTTATAGGAGAGTGACTGGCAGTGAAGACAGAGAGGTGTAGGGGCCAGAGAAGTGGGGAACCTGAAGGCCATTGTAAGAATTCTGGGGCATACTGGGGAGTCAATCAGGGTTTTAGAAAAAGATGAGACAAGATCTGATTCAAGATTTTAAAAGACCACTTTAGCTACTGTGATATAACAGAGAAAATAGAGAGGCGGTATATACATACACATACATATGTACACAGGTCTCTGTCCCCAGTTCCTGACACTGAGCTCCCCAAATCCTTGTAACTAGGACCATGTTTTGTTCTAATATGGTGACTCTGGGTGGGCTCCTGAGGGGGTGGGGGGGTCTGGTCACCAGCAAGACCAAGTTATGATTAGAAACTTGGAATTTTAGCTTAGTCCTCCATCTTCCAGAGAGGAGAGGGGCTGGAAATGGAGTTAATGATTGACTTGCTTATAAGAGTTCAACATAAACCAAATAATGTGGGGTTCCAGGAGTTTCCATATCCCATTATGGGGAAGGTGACTCACCTCAACTCAGGAGCCCCTGTGTCTGGGACCCTACCAGACCTTGCTCTCTACATCTCTATCTGGTTGTTCATCTGCACTCTTAATCATATCCTTTAATAAACTGGTAATCTCAAGTGCTCCCCTGAATTCTGGCAGCAGAATTCAAATGAATTGAAGCTAAGGAGGGATTGGTGGAGTCTCTGAATCTGTAGGAAGTTTGTCAGAAGCAACCTGGACTTTCAACTGGCTTCTGAAGTGTTTGGGTGTGTGTACAGGGAGGCAGTGCAGTCTGCGGGGCTGAGCCCTTATCTCCACGTAGAGAGTGACAGCACTGAGTTGGTAGGATACTGAGAATTGCCTGGTGAGAGGAAAATTACGCATTTAGGAACCATAAGTGTCAGAAGTGAAGTGTTCTCTATGAAGTCACAAGAGAACACAGGGCGGAAACACTGAGTAGGGAAAACTGGGTTTTTCCCTACACTGGGAGATAAAAAAATACAAGTCTTTCCTTTATGGCCACCTTAGAATAGGTTTATGATGGCAAGGAAAGACTCGCTGTCCCAGTAACTCAGGTGAAAGATGGTTGCGACCCGGACGGCAGCACCACAGGGGGGAAGGACAGATGGATTAGGATGTATTTTGAAGGCAAAGCCTCTAGCATTTCCTGAAAGACTGAACACCAGGTGTGGAAAGACAGAGGATCCGAGCATGACTCTTAGGTTTCTCTGGACACTAGGCTTGTCACAGTAGGGAGGCTGTGAGCAGAGATCAGGAGGTCTGCTGCAACCTCGCTTTTCTCCTGAGCTCACAGCTGTGCTGATGGCTGATGAAGGATCTGGTATCTGGACTGCAGCTACTTCTCAGGGACTGTCCACCCTGGAGCCACAGCCAATACGTGCCAAAAAACATCCAAGTGATCTGTTCAACTTCCTTCCCACTGTCAGCACTCTGTCTTAGGGAACTCTTCCATCCCACAGACCCATCCCATTGTTTCCTTATCACCACAGTCCCTTCCCTGCAGCAGCACTGCTGATCCTCTTCCTACCCCAACCCTGAGCTGTGGCAAGCCAAATCTCACTTATCCCTTCCTATGAGATAAATGTCAAATCTTCCAAGAAGGCTTCCCTAATTCCCCAGAGTGGCAATTAAACTCTCTGACCTCTGAACAACTGCAGAATTTTCCTTGTTCCCCCTTTCTACCACTTAACAAAAACCATGGGTCAGTTTCAAATTAAAACATATTACTGCCTCCTATATTCAGTCCAAGTGAATACCTTGCATTACAGCACCACGTATATACTTCCTATCTCTTCCCTGCAAAGACCATATCTGGTTGACATGCACATTCCTCAGACCCTTTTGATGAAGTAGCAGACTGCGGCTTACTACCAGCAGAGGGAGCCCCTGAGCTACTTGGCGTCCACAGAAACAAAGTGCAGCAAAGCTAAGAGGCCTCACTGGCATGAAGTAATCCAGAAACTTGACAAAAAGGTAAGACAAAAACATCTGGATATATATAAAGGCGCTTTATGAGGGGCTATTACACAAGAAACATTCTTCTGACATAAACATGAAGACATTCTTGTCATGTTCACTCTTCTAGGCAAGTAACTGATTGCTAAAGTAATTTTTCTAAAGTATCAAGTTTAAGAAGGAAAATAGAGTAAACTCAGTACAGGAGATTTAAAGCTAGCTTGAGTTCTTGGACAAAACTTAACTTCTCTGGCTCTCTGTTCTCCCATTAAAATGAGTGTTGTAAGCGCTGATGGAAATGTGGATGTAAGTACCCTGAATAATTCCTGGCATGTCCATGAGAATGCATTAAGTGGAACTATTAGTAGCCAAATTATGTGACCAAAAGCACTGCACATTTTATTTAGAGGTCTGGGAAATTTCACACAAAACTCCACCTCCCTAAGTCCTGGTTTCTTCGAAAACAAAAGAGTTCAACTAAATGACCCACAGATCTTCTCACTGGGTAACATTCAACAGTTCTAAGAACCATTCATGTTGAGAAAATTAAGAACCTTCTGAAAAGTGCAAGAGCTATCACACCTTTCAGGTGCTACACAGAGTTCTCAACAGGTCCTGTCAGAGTTAGGGATATAGCAAGACAGGTCTGATGGTGAGGGTCTTTATGCTATCTGAGGTGGGAGGGAATCAGTAAATGATTGTA